TTTTTTTTTTTTTTTTTTTTTATGTTTAATACAAATTTAATACAAATAAATGTTTTAGTTTTCAGAAAAAAAAATATTTTTTTTTCCCATGTGCTTTCAAACATTAGCCCATGTTCACATCTACTTATTATTGAATTAAAATATATATATATATATATATATATATATATGTTAGATGTCAAATTTTAACCATATAATTTATTTGTTTTTGGTTGAAATTGATTGTTATCGCTTTTTTATTCATATAGTCACAATTACTCAGTTCTAATAATCTTTCATTATTTAAGGTATTTTAGTAAGAACGTGAGACCACCGCTAGTAGATATTGTTCATTTTGACTCGTTACATATTATCACTAGTCTCATAGTTTTAAAACGTGTCTACTAGGGAATGCTTCATTCCCCTCTCCAACCGATGTGGGATCTCACAATTCATCCCCTTGAGGCCTAGCGTCCTCGCTAGCATACCACCCGATGTCTAACTCTAATATCATTAGTAACCACCTGAGGCCACTTGTTAAAAGATAAAAAATGAAATACAAGAAATAATATTATGATCGTATATGTAATGGTATTTTCTATCCTAACTATGTTTGCCCAGTCTTTAGTAGCGTTGACAAAGGAGAACATCCCCTCTTGTTGACAGATGGAGAATTTATTGTCCTATCCTTTATAGCTACGATCGTTGTCATAGAAAAAGAGTTTGTTTAACCATTGGTCTATATTTGAACCGATCGCATTATTTTTATTGAAATAAAATAGTAACTATGAATAAACAGGTACAAGATATACATAGAAGGACGAGCATGGTCGGTAAGTGAGAAATACATAATATCATGCGACTCAATGACGCTGTATGTGAAGCCAAAGTATTTTGATTTCTTCATAAGGGGAATGGTTCCTTTGGAACACTTTTGGCCTATCAACGACCAATCCAAATGTCATTCTCTTAAATTTGCCGTCGAATGGGGTAACAATCACACAAATCAGGTACTCCCTCGTTTTTTTTTCTTTTTTTATTTCATGAAGATCGAATAAAATTGTGACACGGGAATGGTTCATTAATGAAATCAAAACGAACACGAGATAGTTATGTGTTAATTAAGAGGCGATCACATTCCCCAAATTAAGTATCCCTAATTTCTTACTAATCCAAGTATTAAAAAAATTGAAAATTAAACCAAATTTAATTTAATTTCAGGCACAAGCAATAGGAAAAGAAGGGAGCAAGTACTTTCAAGAGAATCTAAAGATGGAATTTGTCTATGATTACATGTTCCACTTACTCAACGAATACAGCAAGCTTTTAACATTCCGGCCGACAGTGCCAGCCGGCGCGGTGGAGCTGAAGCTGGAGACGATGATCGGTAGCGTTGCGGGGTTGACGAAAAAATTTATGGAGGATTCAATGGAGAAGTTCCCGAGCAAGTCAGGACCGTGCGATTTGCCGCCTCATGATCCAACAGTCCAGAGAGAGTTTCAGAACAAGACATTAAATGCTCTCAAGCAAGTAGATATTTGGGAAAAGGAATATTGGAAAACTCAAAGGAAGGGGAAATGGATTTGGGATTAATTTGCTTTTGATGAAATAAACCCTAATTTATTTGATGAAAAGTTGTTTTTACTCCGTAAATATAAAATCATCTATTTGATTTTGGCCTCTTCGATCTTATCTATTATAAAACAAAACTTTCAATTAACTTCGATAGAATGATGATATAATATGTTGTTTATGGGATCCACCACGGTTAGATGCCTTTGTTCTCACGTGTTCTAATAGCAAGGACCTACAATCAAGCATACCTTGTTCTCCAATGACCTTGCTCCACCACTACAACAAAAATGCATAGGTTCCTAAGTGTGTAGCTTCCATGTTGGTTCATTCCTAAAGCACATCTTATTAGAAGAGATATCGTTATGATACCATTTCTTGATTTAAGCATATCATCCTTGCATAAAGGTCATGCTAATCTTCTCGAGTGTCCCAATTTTGTTGAATGTTTTAGTGTCATTATGTTTGAGCTTGTTTGATGTTGGGATCAATTGCAACATGAGCTCGCCTTTCTAGACCAAATGACAGTAAAGAAGACATGTCACATTATTTAATATCTACCATTTTTCTTTTAATAAATAATAATGTGTAATTAGCCAATATTAACAATAATTAAGTTTTGGTTCAACCCTTATAATCTTCTAAATGATTTTAATGTTTTATCTAAATTTCTTCCATTAATTCTTTAAAATAATTTTTTTGAACTATTTAAAAGTTAATTTTTTTAAAATATATATTAAAATTAAGCCGTGTGAAAATAACTAAATAAATATTTTACAAACTAACCCTTATTTTATTAAAAACAAAAATTTAAATAAATGACTCGATAACTTGAATCAATCCAATCCACCAAATTTAAGATGGAGTTGAGTGGAGTTAAGTTTATTATTTAACGAGAATTGTTTGAGTAGACAAATTTACAACTCGAACAATTAGATTAGATCTAAAAAAAATGTCTCAATTCGACCTACCAAACATTGTAATCTCACATTATTGTCGGGTCGGAGAAAGAGAATGTGTTTGGAGAATGGTGTGAGTAGTTGGCGTGAGAAAAAAGAAAGGTCTATGACCCTACCAATGCATTAAAATAGTTTGGTAAAAAAACTACAAATTAAACCCTAAATTAAATACATATTTTAGTCAACACTTAACCAAAAACTTTGCCGCCCATAGCCATTAGAACCTGATTTTGGCTTTAAATCACTATTTAAACACATCCTCTCTTTCTACGATTCTTAATTGAGCTGAATCCAAGGCTAGAACATATGAAGCGTTGTCCTGATAAGAGTCTCTCCGATATACTTTGTTATAATTCTTCTTCTACCCTTCAGGCTTCAAGATGGCGATGGCGTTCGTCTAAGAAGAAACCTACCTTCAAAATCGTGGCATTTCTCTTCTTCTTCTTCTTCTTCATCGGCATCTCTGTTCGTCTCAAATGGTTGACTAAATCGGTATGTCTTCTTACAATCATCTAACATATCATTTCAATCATATCATTTCATGAGTTTGTGTAAAATAATTATCATTTTAATTTTAAATTCACATTTTTCTAAATATCTTGGGTTAATTCTATGTATGTGTCAATTCTCTATAATACTCATACCATATATCAAATTTATTAAAATCAACGAATTAAAACGATAAGACATAGAAATTCACATATTATATATTGGTTTGTATTTTTCTTAAATTGAAAAATCCGCCAGAAATGGAATTATTTGGGTTTTTGAAATTAGTATTAAAATATAAAGATAATGACTTGCAACCGAAAAGAAATGAAGCTTATACCCGTTCGGTTGGATTTGATCGGAAGAATTTTTTGGACTTATGTCTAGTTGATTGGGTTAGTGTCTCGAGTAACTCAAACACAATTCATAACCTGTAATTATTTTTTTAATTATTTAAAAAAATCTACTTGTCTAAAATATATCTTACATTAAAATATCAAACATTTACTAGTTACAATAAATCATTAAACATTAGTTACAAACGTTTCTTAATATTTTTTTAAATAGAATGAGGTTGGGTTGAGTTATAACTTTATTTTTTAGTCGATTAGGTTGACCCGATAAAAAAATTGTCAACTTGCAAACATAACTGAATAATTCATTTTTCAAAAATTCAACCCAATCATATGAACCCAATATTATATTAATTATTTTCATAGGCAATACATGCGGACCGTCCACAGAACGCCACATGCCCGCAGCACTTCCGTTGGATTCACGAAGATCTACGGCCATGGAGAGAGACGGGGATAACAAGAGAAATGGTGGAGGGGGCCCGCAGGACGGCCCATTTCCGGGTAGTAATCATGGACGGGCGAGTGTACGTGGAGAAATATAGAGGCTCAATCCAGACCAGAGATCTGTTCACAATGTGGGGGCTTTTGCAGCTTGTGAGATGGTACCCTCAGAAACTGCCAGATCTTGAACTAATGTTCGACTGTGATGATCGCCCAGTCGTCCAATCTAAAGACTTTCTAGATCCAAAGGCGGGCCCACCTCCGTTGTTCCGATACTGCTCCGATGACTCCAGCTTGGACATTGTTTTTCCTGATTGGTCCTTCTGGGGATGGTAATTATTTTCTTTTTTTTCATACTCAATTAAACGAAGGGTAAATGAATGATTCGATACCACATTTAAATGATAGTGATCCGATCCATATTGTTTGACGATTTTTGAAGGGGTGAAATAAACATAAAGCCATGGAGAAAGGTATTGGAGGACATAAAGGAAGGGAACAAACGAACCAAATGGAAGGAGAGGGTGCCCTTTGCTTATTGGAAGGGGAACCCACATGTTGATCCCTCTAGGAGAGACCTTCTCAAATGCAATCTCACCCAACATCAAAATTGGGACACTCTTTTATATTCTCAGGTAATTTCCTATTTCTATTTTCATTTTATATAACCAATTTGTTTACGTTATCCCATCATTTTGTTCGAAGGATTGGGATAAAGAGTCGAAAGAAGGGTACAAACAATCAAATTTAGAAGATCAATGTACGCATAGGTATAAGATTTACATAGAAGGATGGGCGTGGTCGGTGAGCGAGAAGTACATAATGTCGTGCGATTCAATGACGTTGTACGTAAAGCCAAGGTTCTTTGATTTCTTCATTAGGGGAATGCTTCCTTTGCAGCACTTTTGGCCTATTAATGATCGATCCAAATGTTCTTCTCTCAAATTTGCTGTGGAATGGGGTAACAATCACACAAGTCAGGTATTCAAACGTAGAATTTTAATTTCTACCAAAAGAAAATGAGCTATATCAACATTTAATTACAGGCACAAGCAATAGGAGAGGACGGGAGCAAGTACTTGCATGAGAATCTTAAGATGGAATTAGTATATGATTACATGTTCCACTTACTCAACGAATACAGCAAGCTTCTCAAATTTCGGCCGTCGGTTCCTGCTGGTGCGGTAGAGCTGAGGCCTGAGATGATGATCGGCGCCGCCAAAGGGTTGCACAAGAAATTTATGGAAAATTCACTGGAGACATCTCCCAACAAGGCAGAACTGTGCGGTTTGCCGCCTCATGATCCAACAGTTCTGAGGGAGTTTGAGAATAAGAAATTAAATGCCCTAAAGCAAGTTGAAGCTTGGGAAAAGGATTATTGGGAAAATGAGAGGAAGGGAAATTAGAATTAGAATTAATTTTAAGTTCCAAAATATTTTATTTTTGCCATTTAATTTTTATTTGATTCTTATATACGAGGATTTTACCTCTTCATAATGCTGTCGTGACTGATAAAGGATATCGTCTAATGCATGAACACATAATAATGCATGAGATCCCAATATTTTTCTATTTTTATTATCTATTAATACAACACTGCAAACATTTAACATTTGACACTCAGTTTAAGGCGCAATACTAGCACACCCGTGTCATTCGGTATTGTCCTTGAAAGATCTATTTCAAAGGAAGTCACCTAAGACACTTATCTCGAAACATTCGCCCTCACTATGACACACACATGTGCCACATGATAGCTCGCTTAGACCACAAGCCTAATGGTGGTGGAGAGTTTATATCATACCTCCTTTTAAAGTGGTGGGTGTAGACATGATTTTTGAAGAATGAACTTACGATGTCATAAAGCATTCGTTCGGCGTTCGATTCCTTTCATATTTCATTTGGCCTTACCTGACTTTTGAACAAGCCTATTTTTGACACTCTTGTCTACTCGTTGCCCTTATCTTGCTTGTGTCCCGTCTTCTCTTGAATGCCTATTCTATGTGGTGTGTTAGATGATATATCGTCCTCTTTGGTCGTATCATAGCACTCGTCTAGGCTCTCGCATGGTCGGATGGACATCACTTGAGAGTTACTGCTTTGCTTGTAGCAACTTGAGGGTCACAACCTACTCTCTTCATAATTGTATTATTAAATTGATGTTGAATTTTGACATATACGACTCACTTATGAAATAAAGAGAAAATTAACGTACTCATGAGTTGACCACAAATTGATGGTTGTTGTTATATAAAATTGGTTTTAAATGTGGTCGGATGTCTTACTTCATTATTCTACTTGGTCAACTCTATGTGTACATTTTACAACACACGTGTACTTTTAAACTATTTGACTTTTTTTAAAATTTGTCTAACGCATCTATAATAAAAATAAAGTGAAGAAAAAAAAATGGCAGAATTGGGGACGAATTTTTTTGGACATTTTTTTAGGCTAATAAAAAAAATTAACAATTCTATAATATATAATAATGGAAATTCCATTATTGTTTTGGCATTTATTAAGATCAATTATTCGATTAGGAAAAAAGTTAATAAATAATGTGAATATCAAAATAAAATATTAATGGAATTATTAGATATTTTATAACGTCATTAAACAATAAAAACACTAAATTTAAATATATTAAGCTACAAATTTAATTTTCATAATTTAAAAAATTAAAATTTAATTATAATAATGTATTTTTTTAGTAATAAAAAAATAATAAATTGTTTTTTTAGACCAATTTAATGCCTATTCTAGAGGGGTGGAATGTCCCTGCCATTTAGTATCAATTTAAATAATTGGAAAAGAAATTGAAATGATTTTTATAAGGTAAGAAATAAAATGAAGAGAGAGAGTAACGGCGTTACTTTTGCGCAATTTACCCAATGGTTAATCTCCACGTTGTTTTATTTTTCCATAATAAAAAAATTTGAAAAGGAAAATAATATTCGTGTTTCAGGGAGAAAACAACTGCGTGCGACTGCTGACCACTCAACTCCTTTTCATACCTCGAATCTTTCCTCCTCTAGGTGAAGTTGAAGTTCATTTTCATCTTCTTTAACTTTTTTGCTTTAATTTTTTGCATTAATCTTTTCTGAAACCTCCATTAAAATCCACCAGAGAAACCCTCTTTCTCTTAAACAGGGCAGGTACGTTGTTTGGTCTTCAATGATTTTGTAACTTCTCTTTTTTCAGCAGATCCTCTGGTTTTCTCTCTAATTGCTTGGAATAATTTCTCGGAAATGAAGCTGGTTTAGTTCTATGTCTAGATTGTGATGATTTTTTGTGAAATTTGTTCTTTCCCTGCCTGTGAAAATGCTTCTTGTTTCTGGGGCGAATCGGATGATTCGGACGTTGATTTGGGCTGTGGAATCTGGATTTGAGTTGGGGAGGGATATTGTCGGCTATGTGTTTGTTAAAATTCGTGGAAATTTTAGACAATGCTTGGTTTGTGTTGAGGAACTTAAGGGATTTATGGTTGAAGAAGGGAGGGGGAATTTCTGTGCTTATATTCTTGATTCGTTTAGGTTTGAAGCAATCTTTTGCTGTGTAGAATTTTTCATTTCCCTTTATCATGATTCTGTATATTCTTTTCCTGTTTCTGAGTCTCTCCTTTCATTGTTTAGTTCACTTTGGAATCTAAATTAATTCGATCGCTTTATTCCTTTTTTTAGGCCTTTATTCTCATTTTAGATCACAGTGGGTTTGCTTTCTTTCGATAATTTTCTAATTTTGGAAGTTCAGTGAATAGAAAAAGAAATGGTTAGCTGATTAACATTAAGTTTGATGTAATAATGATGCAAATAACCCTTTCATTTCCAGGTGATTTCTGCATTTAACTGTGTGGAGTTCATCAGTTCTTGGATAGTTGTTTGGTAGAAGTTCAATGGGTAACCTCAAGCTAGGAGTTGATGTAGTGGGTGCTCATGATCTTATGCCAAAAGATGGGCAGGGCTCAGTCAGTGCTTTTGTAGAGCTTCACTTCAATAATCAAAGAGTCTGTACCACGACTAAGGAGAAGGATCTCAATCCTGTTTGGAACGAGAGCTTCTACTTCAACATATCAGATCCGAAAAGTCTGTCTAGCCTTGCTCTTGAGGCCTTTATCTTTTCGAATCCGAAAGTCAGCATCAACTCCAAGCCCTGCTTTCTAGGAAAAGTTCGTCTTACTGGGTCCTCGTTCGTCCCTTACCCCGAGGCTGCTGTTTTTCACTATCCTCTGGAGAAACGAGGCATTTTCTCACGAATAAAAGGAGAGCTTGGCCTTAAGGTCTATGTAACTGATGATCCTTCTATTAAGCTTTCGAATTTACTTCCCGCAGTTGATTCTTCTGTGGAAAAGGATCCTCCTCCGGTTCCAATCACATCTGAACACCAATCAACAGTAAGAAGAGTTCCAAAGTTTATAGCAAGTCTATTTTCTACTGACAAAACCGAATCAAGACAGACATTCCATCACCTTCCGAATGCGAAGCAGCCTCAGCAGGAGCACCAGCATCACACTGTCCCACCAGTTAGTGTGCCAGCTGTGATCGATGGAAAATACGGTATGACATCTGAGCTAATGGCTGCAAATGCTGGCTACATGTACCCTGGATCATCATTTCAATATGATGATTATTCAGTTAGAGAGACGAGTCCTTACCTCGGCGGTGGGATGGCTGGTCGTGTCGCTCTTGGAGACAGACCTACAAGCACCTATGACCTTGTAGAAAAGATTCATTATCTTTTCGTTCGAGTTGTGAAAGCTCGTGATCTTCCTACCAAGGATTTAACGGGAGGCTTGGATCCTTATGTTCAAGTGAAACTAGGGAACTTCAAGGGAACAACTAAGCATTATGAGAAAAATTCAAGTCCTGAATGGAATGAGGTGTTTGCCTTCGCAAGGATGGATGTGCAATCAACAGTGCTGGAAGTTTCTCTTAAAGACAAAGATACGTTAAAAGATGATTGTGTTGGACGTTTGTACATTGATCTTCATGAAGTTCCTACTCGAGTTCCACCGGATAGTCCATTGGCTCCAGAATGGTATCGTCTCGAAGACAAGAATAGATCAAAGAAAAAGGGAGAATTAATGCTTGCTGTATGGTATGGCACACAAGCTGACGAGGCTTTTCCAGATGCCTGGCATTCAGATGCTCTCTCTCCCGATGGCACTTCGGTTATCCCAGTGCATACTCGCTCAAAAGTTTATCAATCACCGAGATTGTGGTATGTCCGAGTCAATGTTGTTGAAGCTCAAGATTTGGTTTTACAAGAAAAGTCACGTTTCCCTGATGCCTATGTGAGGGTTCAAATTGGCAGCCAAATTTTAAGAACAAAAGCCGTGCAAACTCGAACAATGAATGCCTTGTGGAATGAAGATCTTATGTTTGTTGCAGCTGAACCCTTTGATGATCATTTGATCCTTTCGGTTGAAGACCATGTTGGCCCCAATAAAGATGAAACGCTAGGGAGAGTTGTTATTCCACTGATTTCTGTCGAAAGGCGTGCTGATGCTCGACCAATCCAAAGCCGATGGTACAATCTTATGAAGTCTGAGTCAGATGCCGTGGAAGAAGGGGAGGGAAAGAAAGAAAAGGATAGGTTCCATAGTAGAATCCATCTTCGCATTTGCCTGGAGGGTGGATATCATGTGCTGGATGAGTCAACTCAATATAGTAGTGACCTTAGACCTTCATTGAAGCCACTTTGGAAGCCACCAATTGGGATATTGGAGCTTGGCATCCTGGGCGCTGGTGGGCTTCACCCAATGAAAACTAGGAACGGAAAGGGTACAACTGATGCATTTTGTGTAGCAAAGTATGGCCAGAAATGGGTCCGAACTCGAACAATAATCAACAACTTGAGTCCAAAGTACAATGAGCAGTACCATTGGGAGGTTTTTGATCCTGCCACAGTCCTAACCGTGTGTCTTTTTGATAATGGTCATATTGGTGAATCCAACAATAACAAAGACATGAAAATTGGGAAGATTCGAATCCGTATTTCGACTCTCGAAACTGGTCGCATATACACACATGTGTATCCATTACTAGTTCTTCAGCCTTCTGGTGTCAAGAAGATGGGTGAACTGCACCTTGCCCTGCGATTTATATGTCCATCGGTAGCAAATTTGATGTTTATGTACTCAAAACCCCCATTGCCAAAAATGCATTACATAAGGCCATTGTCTGTGGTTCAGCAGGAAGCGCTGCGACATCACGCAGTTAACATAATAGCAGCTCGACTTAGCCGAGCAGAACCTGCCCTTGGAAAAGAGGTAGTTGAGTACATGTCTGATGTAAACTCCCATCTTTGGAGCATGAGGAGAAGCAAGGCTAACTTCTTCAGGATCGTATCGGTCTTTTCGGGACTATTTATGATCGGAAAATGGTTTGGAGAAGTGTGCATGTGGAAAAACCCCATTACTACAGGACTTGTTCATCTTCTGTTTGTGATGCTAGTTTGTTATCCAGAGCTGATCTTCCCCACAATTTTCCTCTACATGTGTCTTGTAGGAATTTGGAACTGGCGGTACCGCGCTCGGAACCCTCCTCACATGGACACAAAAATCTCTTATGCAGAGGCAGTGAGCCCCGATGAGCTCGACGAAGAATTCGACTCGTTTCCAACGAGTAAAAATGCAGACATAGTCCGAATGAGGTATGATCGGATGAGAAGTTTAGCAGGCAGAATCCAGTCCGTGGTCGGGGACGTAGCTACTCAAGGGGAGCGAATTCAGGCACTGTTAAACTGGCGAGATCCTCGTGCAACAACCATATACATAATATTCTGCTTCATTGCTGCTCTAGTGTTTTATGTAACGCCTTTTCAGATGCTATCCCTTGTGACCGGTTTCTATGTGATGAGGCATCCCAGGTTCAGGAACAGAATGCCATCGGCGCCAATGAACTTCTTCCGCAGGCTGCCTGCTAGGACGGATAGTATGTTGTAATCTGAGCTGCTGCAGTGATGATGTCTTGATAATCATTATGTTGTCTTCTTCATTTGGGTTGTGCTACGTTCTGTATGGAGTTTTGATGGTAAATAATGACTTGTGGTTTGACTTAAAATGCATATTAGGATTCAATCAACAAGAAGTTGGCATATTAAAAATTTTCATATTAAAATGCATATTAAAAATAATGACTTGTGGTTTGACTTAAAATGCATATTAAAAATTTTCATAATGTAATTTATATATTTATTAATAACAAGGAATTTATTCAGATCTCACCCAAGCCTAACTTTGAAAAATGAGTAAAATGTCACGAAATAATATAATTGATATTAATAAATTGTATTTAAGTATTAAAATTCCATTGCCGTCTGCGATGTTTAGTTTTAACCAAGGAGACTCGGGTTCGATTCCCGGCAACAAAATTCTCCTTTTATTCAAGATTTCTTGGTATCACAAATTCCGTTCTTGTCCAATGGTTAGGATATCTGGCTTTCAACTAGGAGACCCGAGTTCTCCTTCCTTTCTTGTTTATGGAAATTTTTATTGACTGATTTCTTTTAATTTTATTTTAAACAATATCATTTATGAAAATTAGTCATTTTCATGATCTTGTTGTCTAGGTGGGTGCCCTTACCCAATTGATTACTGATCTTATTAGTCTGTCTAAGTCCCCACACGATCTGATCTGCGTACAAGAACAGAACAAGGGTGCCCTCATCAAGTCTCAAGTTTTAAAGTTGATCTAACATATATGACTCAGGATTCTACCAAATTTATGAACTCCGGAGGATTTGTTCTTTAATTTGCATGGGTGAGAACGCTTATCATGTTGAGAAAGCCAGACTTGGATTGGTGTTGTTCAATGGTTAACATAAAAACATAAACTACAAACAAGGAATAATGTAAATAATCCAAAACTCAATCCCACAACCTACACATTTCACAAGTACTCTATCGTTTCCTCTGAAAATTAACAACTAAACTCCCCGGACCTCACCCGCGCATCAGATCGATGTCCATGTGTGCGTTACGCATGTCCAGAGACTGCGACGACGGCCACATACTAACTGGGGAGGTCGGAGTCATATTCTGATTCTGATTCTGATTCTGATTCTGCTGCACGTTTGCGATCGCCACTGCGTGATCTACCGCCTGATGATCCGAGTCTATCACGCCTTCGACAGCTTCCCTCTTCTTGTACTTCGACTTTGAACTTCCCCACATGAAGCTCCCTACTATCACCTAATTAATCACACATTTATGTATCAATATGCTGCAGTTTGGTTATATAGCATCTAACAGTTTTCGTTTGAACGAAGAAGCTACCTGAACCGGGGTTGCTGCGATAAGTGCTCCTCCTACACCACCACCGATAACACGACCATCAGGGCTCGCAAGGGAGACACTCAGACCACCAGTGCGGTTCCTCGAACCAGATATATCCCCAAGCGAGTACGAGCCCGATAGACATATTATCTCAAAACGCCCCTACACAACAAATTCAGAATTAAATTTCAATTTCAAAGTTGATTCTCCTAGGCAAATAAGATTATCCACCTTACAACGTATTGAAGGTCACCTATCTAAGACATTAAAATCTTACAAGTTTCTTTAGGTCGGATTAGTTAGATATGTGTTAGAGCAATTAGTCAAAGCGTGCATAAACTATAGCCTGAACGGTAAACAACCCAAGCCACCCGCTAGCAGATATTATCTTCTCAGAACTTTCCGTTTCAGATTTCCCCTCAAGGTTTTTAAAACTCGTCTGTTAGGGAGAGGTTTCCACACCAGAATGCTTCGTTCTCCTCCCCATCCGATGTGGAATCTCACAATCCACCCTCCTTCAGGGGCCAACGTCCTCGCTGGCACTCATTCCCTTCTCCAATCGATGTGGGATCTCACACAAACAATCATGGATAACACGTGGGGGGATACTATACCAACAAACTTATAGATATGTCGAGGTGCCTGAACACCGATAGTTGCATATTTTTTATAACATGCCTGTGAGATGATGAAGTAAAACATCATATCTCCTTCATAAATAATCAAATACTATATAGTTCTTATCGAACTACCTTAAACACATCCGAGGGTGATCGAAACAACAGAAATAAACAAACCTCGTACGTGACTGTGCCTCCTGAAGTCGAAGGCTGACGAAGAGTCACAGTGGAGACAGCACCATTTGCTGACAAGATGCATACAATTCTTGGTCCCTGTTGTGAAAATGACATAATTTTGGCAGCGACATCCTGCATAAAAGTTCACATATATCAGTTTCAATATGGTAAACTCTAGTCAGATTTTGAAATCAATGGCATTGGATGAAAGTACTAATTCAACAAAATGGTGAAGATTTTAGTAAGAGAGTTCTTCAATTTTCTTGATTTTCATTGTAATATTCCGTAACAATTTAAGTTCGGTTCGGCCTCATATGATATAATTCTCTACCAAGCAACATCAAAAAAACATTAACTAAATTAAACAAGTGTATGAACTATATTGTAACAGATATTGTCCTCTTTAGGCTGTCCCTACTCAGCTTTTCCTCAAGGTTTTAAAACACGTTTGGTAGGAAGAGGTTTCCACACCCTTATATTTCTCCTCTCTAACCAACGTGGGATCTCACAATCCACCCCCCTTGGGGGCCCAACATCCACGCTAGCACACCACCCGGTGTCTGGCTCTGATACCATTTGTAACAGCCCAAGCCCACCGCTAGCACATATTGTCCTCTTTGGACTTTCCCTTCCGGGCTTCCCCTCCAGTTTTAAAATGCATTTGGTAGGCAAAGGTTTCCACATCCTTATAAGCAATGCTTTGTTCTCCTCTCCAACCATGGTGAGATCTCACAATCCACCCCCTTTGAGAGCCGAACATCCTCACTAGCACACTGCCAAGTATCTGACTCTAATATCATTTGTAACAGCCCAAGCCGACCACTAGCAGAATATTGTCCTCTTTGAGCTTTCCATTCCGGGCTTCCCTTCAAAGTTTTAAAACGCATCGGGTAGAGAGAGGTTTCCACACCCTTATAAACAATGTTTCGTTCTCCTCTCCAACCAAGATGAGATCTCAGATGTATACTAATGACCCTTTTTAATACATTACGAGACCATGATTTTTAAACAGAAACAATACACACTTTCTAAGAATTCGCTCATAAATTGGACATGAGATTAATAAATGGCTAAAATTATGCAAAAAAAATGAAACAGACAGACGAGGAAACAGCATACTTCTCCTACTCCAATGGTTATAACATGTGGAGTAAAACCCATTCCAGCTGAACCAGAGAGTGGTTCACCTACAAAAAGCACAAAAATTAATTGAAGTCAGTGTCCATTGCCACAATCATTTTTTATTCAAAGTTTGAGGCCTCAGAATAAAATATTTGAGCATTGAAGAACTAAAATAGATCCTTATAAAATAAGTATAGAGGTTTAGTGATCCTAAAAAGGCAGTAACACATTAGGAAATTATTCATGAAACATAATTTTCTAATATTGTTTTGAACAACTAAGAACATTCCAAGAATACTAATGAAACCAAGCAATTACTTAAGTACAAGAAATCTATCATCAGTTCTCAAAAGGGTATTAAAAAATTCACCAAGAGAAGCTAACTGTTGCTTCTTTCCCGACCCGGGAGGCCGTCCCCTACCCCGCTTCGGCGAAGAGCCAACACTGGCTGGATTAGGGGCAGATGGAGAGGGGGACAGTGCCAAAGACACAGTTCCTTCAGTTCCATATTTGCGAGGCCGACCTCGCTTCCGTTTCACCGGTTCACTCGCAACCATTCCACCCGATTGAGCCCCTACATTGGCACCATAAGGTGAAATGGCAGGGTTAGGGTCCATTGGCAAGCCTGATCCAACATTATTGCCTCCAGCGTTGGTCTGAAAAGTCATATTTGGGTTAGTAGAGGAACGCATGCCCTGTGCTCCAGAGCCAGAATTGCTCATTCCCCTCTGAATATAGAACGATTGCGACCCCGATAACGCCATTGGATCCCTTCGATCCATTCAGATGCTTAAACTTGAAATCAAAACAAAATAGCCTCAGGGTTCAAAGAACAACAACGACAACGACAATAGACAGGAAGGACAAGTTCTACAAGGTTAGAATATGTTTGAAACTAACATGCATTTCTTGGAAATGAAGCTGGGAAGACCAAAGGGAAAAGAAACAGAAAAAAAAAGGCTAAAAAATTGAAAGGAAAGGGAATAATCATAACAAAAGAGAGAGAGAAAGAAAAACTTGAGGGTCAAGATACGAGAACAGAGGGAAGTAAACCGGTCCACGACCAACAGCACGTTATCAAAAACCTTGAACACCAAGCATCTTTTCAGGAACAAACTTGAAATCGTGAGAGGAAAAGGGAAATAGGGGATGAAAGTTAAAAACCCAGAAACAAAAAACGCTCAAATCCCAGAAAAAGAGTAAAAAGAGGATAGAGAAGAAAAGAAGAGTTTCCAGCTTCCAGTTTCCATTACTGAATCAAGAACATGCAAAACAAGAAGATGAAGACGAAGTAGAAGAACAACAACAACAATCTAAACCAAAAACATGGAGCAAAATCAAAGGCACAAAACTAGAGGACAGGGGAAAAAGGAAATGAAATGAAATTCAAAAGGAAGGAGAATGGAAAATGCCGAAGAGGGGTTTTTGGTGGATGCCCATTGAAGAAGAGCAATTAGTAGGAGAACCCAGAAGGTAATAATTCAATACGGAATCACTGAGCAAAGGTCCTTATCAGATACAAATTTCTAGGGCAAGAACAACATCTCTCTCTCTCTCTCTCTCTCTCTTCTTTCTCTCTCTCTTCTGTGTGTTAATTACCAGAGGGTTTGGTTTGGTTTGGTTTGGTTTGGTTTGGGAAGAAGACTGAGTTTGAAGAGATAATCAAAAGAAAGAGAGATTTGAGGAAAGCAAACAAAATCTCTTAACAGAGTAGAGAAAGCGCCTTTTGTTTTTGGATAACACTCTTCTTTATTTTATTTTTTTTCCTTTTTCTTTTTCTTTTTAGAATAACAGAGTCTTTATTTCTTCTGTTTTTTTTCTTTTAATAATTTTGTTAAATAATTCTTGCCGTTGAGAGACACGCGCTACTGAGCTCGCGAGTGGGATGTATTTGAATTGCTAATTATGAGATTCGCATGAGCAAACAACAGACTCACTTTGTCAAATTTTTTTCTGAATTTTTAAATTTAATTATTTTCATCTTATTGTAAATTTAGTCAACAAATTTTAATTCATTTATAAAATAATAATAATAATAAGTTAAAAGAGAAATAAACTTGTCGCATCTTTTAGGGTTTTTCTTATTTTCTTTACCAATTAAGTTAAAAGTGAACTAAATTTAACCGAACAAAGATTCTACGACTTAGGGAAATGCATGGTGCATGTTCCATTTGGAAACCAATCTTAATCTTAGCCTCGACCCCTTGTTGAGGTCGAGGAAGGGATATGGGCTTAAGCTCAATTCTCTGTTCTTTCCTTTGTTTTGGGGTTCAGGTCTTATGTGTTTTTTTATTTGTTCCACATTCAAGCTTTTCTTACGACCTAGTTTCTTGTTTTTTTTTTTTTTTCCTAATATCTTGAGTATTCCATTTTTATCGAAATTTACTCATAACATTACCCTCCCGTCACTAATTGGTATTCATTGTTTGGCTTATTATTATAGGTCAAACATATGGAACCCAATTTAGGAGTATCACTTCTTCTTAAGTTTTTAACTTGTCATCCATTGTTTCGGTTAGGTTGCTGGATTTTGGATTATGTGTCCATAATGAAATTGATAGGCCTTAGATATTCTATAAAACGGCTTTTGAGCTTTCTTAGATTTAATTGCTCCAAGGTGTTTCACGTTTGGACAAAGTTGTAGGCTTCTTTAGGCTTAAGTTCTTCAAAGTAGGTCTTGGACCATCCTTAGGACCGAAACTCAAACTCCGTTGGTATGACTCTAAGTTTCCCTAAGTTTAAGAATCTCCTTTAAAAAGATTAGTACGAATTTCTTGAAGTTAATTTGACCATCTAATGGTATTTCTCTGTTAGATCATGAGCTGGGGATCATGAGATGAATGTCCCTTAAGTTGAAGAAGTAGCCTTGACCTTGACCTCGTGTCAGGGCCAAGGTGGGAATTAGGTTTGGCCTAATTCCTCTCTTCCTTGAGATCTAATTGGGTCCTAGGTTACTTCTTGGCTCAAATTCACTTTATTGTTTAAATTCAATTAGGATGGAGCATATTTTGTCTTAGTTTTGTCATTATTTTCTCCTCTTTTTTTTAGCTCAAAATCTGTTTATATGAAACTTTCTTCGAAATTTTTAGTTTACTTCTTTGATTTGAACATTAGATTGGAAAATTAGCTCAACCGAGATTCTATGGGGTCAAGGCATGCAAGAAGCATGCATCTATGATATAAAGGTAGGTCGAGACAAGGAATTGGGTCAGACCCAATTCTCTTCTTCATCTAAGATCTTGTGGAGTCTCGATTGATTCTACATCTCAATGCTTTTTTTTTTTTTTATTATTTAGTTTCTTATTTATTCTCTCGACGAAAAGTCTTTGTCTAAGCACTCGATTTTAATTTATCTGGATAAGACATGACTCTAACCTCCACCTAGTTATTTTTAGTCCCGAACTCAACAAGCTCTGGAATGATTTTTTTTATTTATTTATTTAAGCATAAGACCTTACCTCTTATGGGTAAGACATGATCATGGTTTCACCTTCAACCATTCCTTGGCTCGATCTCTGTATACTTTGTACGCTTGGAATGAAAAACATTTAAGGGTGTGAATGCAACATTTAAAAGAGCAAGACTTGGTTCTTTGACCAGTTACACCAAACACCAAGGATTTGAGCTATTAGGGTGTAACGACCCTAAATTTCTACTTACTCAACGTCGCCACTAATGTCTCATACTATGCTAAAATGCAGACTATAACTCTTAAAAGAAAATATCGTCTATATTATAAATGTCGAAAACATTTAAACATCTCCTATTTCTCAAAAACACAGTCATAGTTTTACTTATTTCAAATGAAATACTGGAATTCAAAAATAACAAATAAAAAATAATTTAATACTAGAAATTTAAATATACATCTACTCATTTATTCAACCTATTCTCTATATTTTAAAATGTAAAAAGAAAAAAAGAAAAAAAAAACCATTTTTACCAATTTATTTTTTTTTTAAAAAAAGAGTAATTAAAAATTATATCTTGATCATCTATTAATTTTACGGATAAAAATATAATTATTTAAAAAAAAAACAACCATTAAATGGAAATTAGAAAAGAAAAAACTAAAATATATGGAATTAAAACATGAAAAATAATTTTTTAATTTTTTGAAAAGAAAATATATATTTTAGAAAGGGAGAAAGAAAAACAATCGGAAAAAAGGAAATGAGATTTTTATAATGGGAGTATGGAAGAGAGCCCCATCAGTGTCTCAAGACACGCGGTATCGAAGCGCGTGAGAGATAGAGTGCGGTGGAGGGTGGGGCCCAGCCACCGTGAGAAACTTAGTTTGTTCGTATGTGACAGCTTTTTATGAATTTTCCACTGTCTCCCCACAGTGGGCCCCACATCTTAAAACTCACAATACTCAATTTCAAAATAACAAATATCTAACATGAGCACTGATACTCTCACCCCGTGTTGCACTCACACATCACTTCATCTCTCACCGGCTCTTTCAAATATTTAGTACAAACTTGATTTTAAATTACCTTCTAATAGTGGTTTCAGATTAAATAATTAAAATTTATGAATTGGGTTAGATTAATTCGGTCTTTTATAAATAACCTAATCTAAAATTTACGAATTGGGTTGAATTATCGAACTCAAATTTTAAATAAGTGACGACATGGGATGGTTAGTGTAATTATGATTATGGTATATTTTGACAATTCATTAAATTTAAAGTACAAAATTATTAGGATTAATATAGAAAATTTGAGATTGAAGAGTGGAAATAATAATGTGGAGAGTTAAATGTTGAGATAAATAACTCCTTGTATTATGAATAAAATAAAAAAATATATATATTAGTTTTATTTTGGTTTGAATTTTGAATTAAAAAGTAGGAGATTGGTTGCATTATGAATAATAAATAATTCTCCAAAAAGGAGCGGATCGACAACACATTTAAGCTTTTTGAAAGCAACAGAGATTCATTAAATAAATTAAGTCAAAGCGTTGACGTCTGGTTTTCTTTTTAATTAATTTACTTGGTCTTCCCTTTCCCAACACATACCTTTATTGTATTTTATTTATTATGTATTCATATTCTGTTTTTGTCACATTATTTTATTTCTTAATTAATTAAAATATATTTTTTTTACAAAATTTCACTAAAAATATTTTAGATTTTATAAGCTTTTTAGATTTTTATAGTTAATTTTATATGAAAATGTGTTTAAAAAATACTTATTAAAACTTCAAATTCTTCTTTTTTTTTTAGTTCAAATTTATTTATTTATTTATTTTATTTTTAGGAAAAAAAAAAATCTTATGAGATGAAGAGAAAGGTCAGCCATACTATTTGAATTTTCATATGCAAATCCAAAAAGTTGAATAAGACCTAAAGTCTTGTCGGACACTATATAAAAAAAAAAAACTTTAAAAATATCCTTCAAGTTAAATTACTATTTTGTCCTTTTAATTTTAGAGCATTATTTAATCTTAAAAGAAGACAAGCACCTACTTATCAAAGAATTGTGTTGAATAATAATGCCGATACATAACAGAACAAAACAGATAATATATACTAGTGGTGGACTTAAACGGTTCTATTATGATAATAAATTAAACACTTCGAAAAAAAATATGATAATAGAAACAATACGGTTGTAGTTTGAGAGTGATTAAAAACGACATTAATAGCAAAATCATAGAAAGGTATGATTTTGAAAAAAATTAATTGTTGAAAGACATTATTAAAACATCGAATCTTACCATTACTATCAGTATTATTAGTCCTTTGATCACAAACAAAAAAGGTGTTTCCACTTCCCTTCTCTCTTTTTCCACTTATTCAAAGTTTCAATCACTTTTTATTTTTTATAACAAACTTTTAATTTATATTTATAACATAACTCAATATTTTTTAAAATAAAAAAAATTACTATGATGTAAATTTTACATTTTTTGTGAAGAAAAAATAATTGTATTTATATATATATAATTAAAAAAAGTTTGGTACTGATGAAATTAATTTAGAATTGAGTGTGAATTTATTTGTGGGGCAAACTCGATTGAGACAAGAAAGTATGAATTTAAATAAGAGTAGGGACCCGACATCTTCTCTTTCGAGGTAGGGACGGAAGATGCCCTCTCTAACCTAACTCATTCTCCACCTCTAAATTTTATTATTTATATATATATATATATTAGAACCGAACCACACCACACGCAAACTTACTTACTAATAGAGGATAGACGACGCCACGTTTAAATGGATCGTCTTTGTAAAGTCTTCCTTGAGAGGTATTGAAGAAAGCCTTTAAGGGTGTGGATATAGAGTGAAGAAAGTCGGTTTCCACTCTTTATGAACATAGGAGAGTTTGGAATCAGTTCTATTATTCAGGAAATGGAGAGATACAGTAGGTGAGAAGTACGAGTTTTGGAGGAAATTATAAGATTTTT